TGTGCTCAAGAGTGAATGAACCAGTCAGAATTCCCAGAGATACTGTTTTCTTCCTAATTCTGACCTCGCTTTAGTCAACTGAAAAACTGTGTGTTCAACTAACTCTCTGGACTCTTCCACAGCCATAGGGAGAGAGTTAATGCAGGCAGAGAAGCAGTTTGGCATTACAACACTTTTTCTTTGGTTCAGTGAATCACATCTTGGAGGAGCTCATCTCTGTCCATCATCTCTAAAGGGATTTCCAGACAAGTAACTCTCACTGTATACTGAAATGACAAGCTACCATGACAAAACTCACCCTGTGCCAGACTCTCTGAAGCAATATATTGACAATAGCCTGAAGAACCTCAGTGTAGCTGGTGGCAGAAACATTAGTTCAGTGTAAGGAGACCTTTTAAGTTTTCAAAGTCAACCCTGATGTGTCCATGTACTGTCAGAAACATATCACTGTAGTAATTTCTTGGTGATGGCTGTGCCAGGCACCAATGGTTAAGGGCATCGCTCTGGGGAACCAGCCTCACACAGAAGGGCTGAGGCTGAGAGCAACACCAAGGCCTGTGTCATTCCCCACCTTTGATTTTGACAGTTAAAGCTCCAGGCTGCTGAGGGCAACCTATGCATGATGAACATGGCAGCATCTAAATGAAAGATACTACACATATATGAAAGAAATTCACATATTAAGAGTGTGGTAGGGATTATGGCTTATATCTAATTCGTCGCTGATCCCAGTACACTCTGAAGTCAAATTAGTGGCCATGCTTATGTCAAAAGCATGATTTAAATCTGGTTGCTTCTCCTTTCTGACCCAAGTGGTGCCCAGGTATCACAGTCAGCAAACAGTGGGTGGCTGTGAAACGGCTTTTGTTCTTCATAAAATAATTGTACTTGCAACTCAGAAGACCCATTTTTCTATATTCACAGAATGATAAATGCCTACAAAGGCTACTGAGACAAAGGAAATGTGGAAGGTTTCTTTTATCAGTTCTCTCTATACAGATGTTTACTCAATGTAAATTGATAATAGTCCTTCATGCAGAATACACTAATCAGTATATGAAACATAACTTACTTCTCAAATGCTACAAGCACATAGATATATATAAAGAGAAATTCTACAGACAGATATGCTAGTTAGATGTATAATATTGCAGCTTCGAGACCTATGGTTGTATTACTTGTATTTAATACCTGTAAACAGTCTTTCCCTTTAAGTATATTCATTGCATCTTACTTGAGCTAACATTGTTCAATATTCATTAGCCTACAAATTAAATGTGAAGAATTCAAATCTGATAATCTCACTGCCCTGCCATCTGTTCATCAACTTGAAAGTAGTAGAGTATCATGCTGTTTTGTTTTTTTTTCTCTCAAATATTCATTACAGACAACAAACCACAATAGAACCTAAGGCACACAAGTTTCATGACAGTGCCCAAAATCAGACTTGTTTATTGTGAAAATTTTGGAACCATTGTAAATTCAGCAAGAGAACAAAGAAGTGTTTTTTTCTAAATGCAACTGAAGTGGGGGAGAAAGTGTCTGCATAGTACTGCCAAAACTGACCACCAGAGACTGGAGGCTTTGCTCCTGCTGAAACTTTGGGCAATTGTGGAGTGTGTAGCAGCAGCAGGATCTTTTTTTTTCTCCCCCAGACATAGTGAGTGCCAGCAAATCTGAAAAGGTGGTAATATAACATTAATGTTTTTCATCAGTCTGCATGGAAGAAAATCTACAGCCTAGTTAGAGTTCTCGCGTGGTTGCCTTGTTAAGACAGTGAAGTCAGAGTGATTAATTTTGAACATTTTGATAGATAAAATTTTCCTGGAGTTTCTCATAAGAATTCAGTTTAAAATTGAAGATACCCAAATGTAATCTTGGTTATCTCAGTAAAACACATTAATATTATTCTTTAATAACTTTTAGAACTATCTTCAAACTTTTGAACTTCAGTACAAGTAATCGATGCTAATATTTGGTATCACCTCACATTCCCAGAGATTGGAGAAATGGCTAAGGATGAGGCATACTGCTTTTCTGTAGCAATTATGCAAAGGGATAATTAAAATGCAGGTAAAGTTAAAATACAGATAAAAAGTTTCCTATTTAGAAAAGGTAAACCAGGCCATCAGTGTCATATGACACTCTCCCTAGAGATCCATTGCCTGATGGGAAATTCAGCTCTGAACAGAGGGCCAATAAAAGTCTAATTTTAGTGCAGAATTCATTTTTTTTCTCCCAACAAGAGTGAATCAAGGCTAAAGGGGCATAAAGGTCATCTCTGTATTCTCCTTTTTGAGCTGTCATAGTTGCAGATCTGATTACTGCTGTAAAGGATCACCTTTGATAAAGAATCACCCTTGGTAATTGTAGCAAAGGATCAGCTTTTTCATCCTAATGTAGCATCTTAAGTCCTTGTCCCAGTGATGCAAAAAGGTACAAGATGGGAAAGGTTAGTGACTCCTATTAAAACAAATAGACTATGCTGGGTACTTGGAATCCCCAGTAACTTTTGTTACTTTTTTTATGGTTTCTGTTACAGCAGGATTCCTGTTCTGAACTCTATAAATCCTTAGTATCTCCATGGTCATCATCATGTAAGATTAACTGCAGTGAAACCATGACAGAGCAATCTCAATTACTGGGAAGCACCTGGGCAAAAAAGGTTAATAGGAACAGCCAAGGGAAAGCATATGTGACACTGAGCAGTTATAAAATATTGTTTTGGTAGTATCCACCACAGTGAATCTCTGCCTGGGTTCACTGTTGATGTCTGCCTTTGCATACCCATCCCTACAAAGGCAGTAAATTCTTGTGTGGCTAGTACATTTCATGTACAGATTCATCATCTCCCCTCCTCCAAAGAAACCTATCAGTAATGTGTTCTTATAATATATTCTGATGGTTACAAGAGATATTGTTCCATACTTCAGATTTCCTTTAAAGCCTTGATCTGTAGTAAAGTAATTCTAAATCATCTGATTGATACTTAAACGGCAGTGCAAAGATTTGGAACAGACGGTGTCTTAAAGAAGTTCAGTAGAAGTCTGCTTCGTTAAATGATTTACAAGGAGAATAAAAGGTCAAGGAACTTGTTCTTATTGCATCCCTGTAGTCTGAAAGTCTTTTACACTCTGAAGTCTCAGGCAACTTAGAACAAAACCAAACCAAACTGTACAGCAGCTAATTGCACCTCAAGGCATTTTTTTAAAGGTTACAGCTGGAGCTGGACAGGAACTGGAAATCTGATGAGATTCCCACCCCTCCCCATGCAACATGGGGATGGCAGGTGCTGAAGCTGAACTTTTTAAGTGGAACTGCAGACTGTTGTCCTTTTTGTTCATTGTACAACCATAAGAGCAGGAAGAAATTTCCAGGGTAGGAAAGGGGTCCAAATAAACTTTCTCACAGGTGCGTTTCAAATTCTGGGCTAAGGCACCTCAGCATATCACTGTATATTCTGACCATATCTAAAACAAGATAGTGAAGCTTATTTGAGGGAGTACAAATTACTTGAAGCATATATTGTGTTCTGACATGTTTTGTAACCTCTTGTGAGGTGATCATCCTAGACACCATGAGTAACTTCCTGAGGCGAGATCCTGAGTGGTGCCATAAGGTAGATGGCTTCTGTGAGGGAAAGGGTCGTTTAAAATTGCAGTTTATAGTTTGTGGTGTGCAGGGTGCTGTTTATATGTGTGCATGTCTGGATGTCCATGTCTGCCCTATATGGAGAACTTTGACTCCTTGGGAGTCTTACTTGATCCAAGCAAGTGCAGCAGCAGATGCCAGAAGCAGTTATCCCAGTTATCAGCTACCTTGCTCACCCCTCTCCTAGACATTGCCACCTCCACAGCAGGGATCTTTTAGAGGATTGTGAACCCACCCTGAGCCATCACTTCTTTAGCGTAGCTGAGATGTCACAGTATGCTCAGCTGTAAATGCAGTTGCATAGGTGTAGCCACATGGTTTGCTCAGGTGTTCCTTCAAAGGAAACTGAAATCTGCAGAGGAGAGGCAGCAGGAACACAACGGGGGAAAGTACATGTGAGCTGCATTACTCGCCTGGCAAAGATTTGTTCACCTGACACCCTGAAACCTTTGCTGTGTGAGGGTTTGATTACACCATCATGAATATGAGGGATTTGAACCTCATGTTTCTGCTACACCACCCTCAATGGAGTAGTATACAGCCACTCCAGAGTTCTATGTCCAAGGACTCTCTGAGCTCGTGACCGGGAAGGAACAAGAAATAGTTACAGCCTCCCACAAATTACAGTTTCCCCCACACCACTTGGTATTTAAGACCGATGAACAAAAATGTCCAGTTCAACATTTCTTGCTGGTACCTTTCAGCTGTGTTCAGGTTTGATATTGCCAGGCTGGCCCCAAAGGTTCCTGCTACAGCCCTCTCAAATCACTTGCCAAACAAGATGAATAGCTGTGGAGAGAACCTGCAGAGCTGTGGAAAGCTAATCAATGCCTGTCTCATTCTCCAAATGCTTTATGTGCTTTCACAGGTAGTACAAAAGTCAATATTCAAACAGGAGATCACTGAAACACATTGTCATGCCCTTCTGAGCATTGTTTTGGTTTGCAGATTGGTTTGCAGATGGCTTTTCCTTCTTCTGCTCTTTACGGCAAAGAAAGCCACATACTGTCAGTTTCTGCCCAGAGGACATGATGCATCACATTTCTTGTATGCCCCCATCGCTAAATCTAGAGAAAGCAAGCATTAAAAAATAACCAAATTCAGGGGAAGATGTTGATAAATGAAGAGACACCAGCCTCAGTAGTTTAGGTAAGATTCCTGGATTTTAGTGGCAGGGAATTAGAAGAAAATGACTGACAATGAAATTCCTCTTTCTTAACTTTAAGTCCTCGAAAAGACATTTGGTCTAAACTAGAAGTTTGGGATATGGACTCAGTTAATGGAAAGACACGTCTCCTCAAAATGTGATTTATGGCTTCATAAGAACACAGTCAGGAGAGATGAATTACCTGTTGAATGTACCCATTCTTCCACGTGGGTGCAGGTGTCTCTGACAGGCTGCCAAACTTCTACCAGGACTCCCAACAACTAAGGGAAAAGCATGTACAGATTGATTTAGTGTAATAGTCTCTAAAGATGTAGGAGCTTAAGCTTCATCCATAAGGATGGTTTAGGTAGCAAAGAGCATTACAGCATTGTAAATCAAGGAACTAAGGCTCCAATGTGTCTGTTGCCTCTGACAGTGGGATCCAAGCTCCTAAACTGCTTGATCATTTGAGAAATTGCAGCTACTTCTGGAAGACTTTGAAATTACAACATCACAGAATCACATGGAATCGCAGAATCAACTAGGTTGGAAAAGACCTCTAAGATCATCTAGTCCAACCCATGACCCAACACCACCTTGTCAACTAGACCATGGCAGTAAGTGCCACATCCAGTCTCTTCTTAAATATCTTCAGGGATGATGAATCCACCACCTCCCTGGGTAGCCCATTCCAATTATTGACCCTTGCAGTATAGTGCAGCAGCTTCGAACAATATGTTAAATAATCTAATAATTTGAGAAGTTAACTGAAGGGTGAGGTTTTATTTTTAACTTGAACTCCAACAAGGAATGTATATCCTCATCAAAATAATTTCATAATTTTAAGGTAAACCTCTGAGTAGGGAATCAAGTTATTCTTAAAAATTTAATTGTTTGATGAAACAAAATGCCTTTTAAAAAGGTAATGCTGTATGCTGTGAAGCACTTCCTCCCACTTGTAACCCGTGAAAGAGGATAGTACTCTTAGCTTCTCCACTCCTCCACAACAGGGACCCTATGCTCTAAAGCACTAATTTTTGAACTGTGCAAGTCTGTATGCAGGTCTGTGAAGTCAGACCCAGACTGACATTTGTGCAGCCATTTCAGAAGCTTTCTACCTCTAAAGTTATAGCATAAATCTTTTAGAGAGAGGCTGTACCTAAGCTTACATGCTTTATGGACAAAGCTAATGTATACTATAGTTACATAAACTCTAGCAAGAAAGGTTCAAGAGCACTTGATTGCTACGAGTTGATGTCAGGTTTATGGATCTCAAGGTTTGCCAAGGTGTTTGTGGTTGGTGTTTTAATTTAGCAGCACTGAACAGTAAGTGCTTTCAGCAGCTGCTTACTGTGAAAACACATCTAGAGTGTTGCACAAGGGCTAAATGTTGTATATCTTTCACAGAATCACAGAATCACAGAATCACAGAATCACAGAATATGCTGATTTGGAAGGGACCCACAAGGATCATTGAGTCCAACTCCTGGTGCTGCACAGAACCCTCCCCAAGAGTCACACCATGTGCAGAAGAGTATTGTGCCAATGCCTCTTGAACTCTTTCTGCACTTGAAGAATTAAAATCCTGAAAATTATTTCAGAAACAGCAATTTATCAGGATTTCCAAGATCTACAATCAGAGGCTGAAGAGAATGGGGGGAAAAATGTAGACAAATGCAAAAAAACAAAGGAAAGATAAATAATTATTATGCTGGTGTATCCTGATTAGATGACCCCAAATAGGGATATAGTTAGAAATTGTACACAATTTCACATGCATACAAATGGAAATGGAAAGAGGTCAGGAGAAAAGAAGGAAACAGAGTGAGATCAACTGCACTGTCAGATGCTCTACCCACATTGCATTATATGGACAGCAGAGTAAGGACCCAGTGCTTGATTGCATTGACATATGTAATCGAGGATCTATGGAAATGCTATATCCTCCCATTATCAAACCCCACTAGTCACCAATTCGTGCAGCTCCTAGACCTTGGGAGATTAAATACTTCATAAGGGACTAGGAACAAGGGACAAAGACTTTGTATGTGAAAGTATGGAGAACATACAGACTCTCTAAGGTTACAGATATGAACAAACCTAGTGAATAAACTCTCTTACAGATGTAGAGAAAAATAACACTCTAAGTAGAAAAGATCAAAAATTTACAAGGAAAGATAGCACCAAGTATGTGCAAAATGCACAAATACAAACCAGGAAATTATATTTAAAGGAAGATTTTGAGGGAAAAAAACCCCAACTTATAATGGTTGTTACTCAATATATGGAGTCATTTGTGATAGCTATGGCTAGGGAAATCATTATATCAAAGTTTGCAGACAAGAAAAGCCAAGTGAAAATGTACCATACCGCGAAAACAAGCAGTGACTCATAGGAAGAACTACAAAATAATGTAATACTAATTAAAAATAAATGGTTGGTAAGACAAAGCAACAGCATTCACATAAAAGCAAACTGAAGACCAAATATACAATGCAGGCTACAGTATCCTAGTGAACACACAAAGCTTCTGCAAAGGAACATAAAATTCAGTGACAGCACGGTCATTGCAGTGCTAAGATGTGCTCAGCCAGAGCACAACAAGGGAAAGGATACAGAATGGAGGATTAGACAGTGCAAACAACTCAGAAATCATGGCTTTCACCTAAAACAAATATTGTGTGGTCACTAAACCTGTATGAACTGTTCCCATCGTATACAAAGAGATTTATCCATCCAGGATGGCAGGCTATGAGGCACCATGTGGCACCACAGCACTGCTGCTGTCACATGAACTCATCTGAAAATCCAGGCCAGGTCAGACACACCTGAGGAAAGAAAACTATTTATGAAGTTACTATTTAGCTATATGTGAGAACACAGGTTTTAGGACAAAATAGTGTACTTAGGCAGAAGAAATTATACATTCCTTGCCTTTCATTTCTCTCTACCCCCACCATATTTGAACATATTCAGTATGTAAAAGGTATTTAGAAAGTTTAAACTATTTATTTTTTCCTTTTCTTTTAATCTTTTCTTTTAATTCATGCTGATAACATATGTGGGAAAACACTTGACTATTCTTAACCCAAAGATATTACTTTTGAGAGACAATAAGAAGAGATCAGCAGGACAAAAACGTGTTTTGTGGATCTAAGTGAAAGTTCATCTCTAAAAAGGCCACATTAGCATTTTTTTTCTCCACTTGCTCCTCGTTATGGCAGTGCTGAACACTGATAGCTGAAATGAATTCAGAGGCAGCTGAAGTGACCACTGCAGTGGGTCAGTGCTAGTGTCATAAGTTGTTTGTTTTGGATGGCTGTCATTTTAAAGCCAATGAGATATGACATATACTCTACTTAGGGTCCCAGCCTGGGATATTCCTTTAAACATCCCCGCCATCCACCCCAAAAAAACCCCAAAACCTACCTTCTCAAATATTATATAATAGAAGAGGAAGAGGAAAGATTACTGATTTACCCAAAGACTCAAGAAGTCTCAAAAAAAGAAAACTTGGCTACTACAGGCACAGGAAAGTAGTAAGTTTTCTGGAGGAAGGTTATTAAGACACTTTGCGTATGCTATATTTCTGTCTTCTCCTGCTTAAAATGTTGTTGTTTTGTTTTGTTTTTCACTTAGGAGTTGGATTGAGCAGTTCTAGTTTGAGTCACAATCCTTTCCTCTTTCTTTTTTCATGGAACAATTTATTCAGTGTTACCATGGAAATGATTTTATCTTTCCGGTAGTAGGATTCCAGCCCTGCAGTCTTGGTTTTGTCAATATAGTGTCCAGCCCTTAACATACCTACTTTATTAATGTCACCATTAGATGAGACTGTTTACCTACATCAAGAAAAAAAAATCTTTAAAACAGTTTAACCATGCAAGGAAGCCAGGACTCCATCATTTCATAGCTTTGTTCTGCAAATAAAGGACCCACTGTTGTGACCCTCACTATTTATTTAGTCTCCTCACAGGGCCTTGTCTAGTCTGTCAGATCTGTCTCTACGGGAACAGATAATGGACAGACAGTGGTGTAATACAAGCTTTCCCATTGTTTTTTTTTCTTTTCCCAACTTTACATTTTTTTTCATACTTCCACAATGGTTTTTTGGAAGAAAACAGACATTCCTGGGTTTGTATTCCTACCTTTATGCTGCTGTTGCTGACAGACTTGCCAAGGGAAAGACATAATCTAATCCTTCTTTCAGCTCAAATAGGGTTTTTCTGTTTTATAAGGCAGATGAAGGGGCTCACAGAACACCCTCAAACCAGCTGACAGAGAGCAGGAGCAGCATGTGTACACACACAGACACAAATAATCAGTGCCACGTAAAAGAGGTATCATTTCCTCACAATTTGCTATGCTTCAGTTGAGACTCCTTAGCAAAACACAAGCTCCAGACACTCTACTTGAGCAAAAAATAAATCAGTTTCTCCTTTGATGTTTATCAGCAGATTTTAAGAGTCTGTTTGGGAGCAAGTGAAGAGCGATCTAACGTTTGATCTGATTTTGTTTGTTTGTTTGCAAGGCTTGTATGCCCAACAGCAAAGTAGGAGATTTCTCTTTAAAGCATAATAAACTGCAAGCATTTTGATGAAAATGTTCTACCCTGTCTTTGTCTGCTTTAGTCAGAAGTCTCTTGGGGTTCTCCAACACAAGGCAGTACTTCACAGCAGTCTGATCAGCTGTGGTGCCATTACTCCATTTTAAGTCACATCTCAAAGGCGACTCGGCACTTCTTTAAGTTTCCTGCCCACCTTTTTCAACCTTCTGGTTTGTTTTGTTCAAAGTTCAGCTGCTGAATGAAGTACATCCATGTTTCATTAAGAATCGCCTTATTGTCCTTCCTTCTCTGAACAGTGAACCATAGTATGAGATTAAATGGCTTCAAGTTGCACTGAGGGAGGTTTATATTGGATATTTGGAAGGTTTCTTTCAGGGAAAGGGTAGTCAAATACTGGAACAGGTTTCCCAGAGAAGTAGTGGAGTCACTGTTCCTGGAGGTATTTAAAAGAAATGTAGATGTGGTGCTTAGTGACACAGTTTGGTGGTAGACTTGACAGTACTGGGTTAATGGCTGGACTCTATGATCTTAATGGTCTTTTCTAACCTAGATGATCGTATGATCCTATGATTCTAAAAATTTCTTATAAGAGTAGCCTCTTTAGAGAGGGATAAATTACCTCATTGATTGAAGACTTAAAATTAGCAAGGCAGAGCTGATAAGTGTGAATGAATGTGTCCTTTTAATATTTTGGGGCACTCTATATATACATGG